GCAGGTAACTGCGAGGCACAGGTTTAACCTCCCCCTCTGCCTTGGGAGACACAAGCCTCCATCTCCATGGAGAATACTTCCACCATGGTGTTGTCTGGGATCCCCCTCAAATCCTCCTGCTGGAGCTTTTCTACATGGCTTGAAATTCCTAAATAACAATGTTTTAGCCTGGTGGTTCTGGTGTTTATCAAGGAGACAAAGTACTTGGCAAGAAGAGCTGCTCACTGAAATAGCCTGAATTATTTGTATATGGTGGAAATCCAGTTTGAGAAGTTTTTGTTCCCCCTTTCCGCTTGACTATGTTGTAAAGTAAGGGTTGAGACAACCTGCCAGGAGGTGGGAATGAGGAGTCATCATTGCTGTTGACCTCTTGGGTGATTTCTCACACAAGTGAGTAAACAGTTGTGTGACAGAACTACTCTTTATCTGCTCCTTATTTTCCCCTCGTTTCCCCCCAGATTTGGGCAAGTTTGACTCCAGTTTGTATACAGATTCTGAAGAGTATTTATGGATGTGAGAAAAATTGCAGCTCCTATGGCAAACCTTACCTTTTGTGAAAAAATAAGAAAAATAAGATTTTCTCTGTTCTCACTTGGGCTCTCTGAGGTATGATGTCAAACCTTTCCCTTTACATAAGCCAGGCCTGACTCGGGTGACATATTGCTCTGGTGCCAGCCTCGAGGAACCTGGTGGAGTTAGCTGAGGTTTTAAGGCGGGGAAATGTTTGAAAATCATCTGTCATGGTATCCCACAAAACACAGTCCAGAGCTCTTCCCCCACTCACTCCTGCAGCAGAGGGAATTATTTTTTCCTGTTAACACTGTGAAGTCCAATGGGCCCCCCAGCCAGTGCAGACTGATGGCATCAGAGCAATTCTGGTCAAATACTCTCTGAATAAAACTATTGCTATTTTTCAGCTCAAGCTACACAATTGAGAATTCAATATATTGTGATCTGAAGTACACTCCTAAGAGATTTTTGAAGGTTTATAAACAAAACAACAACAAAAAATAGACAGTTCCACTGATACCTCCTCCCCTAGATACTTTCATCTCCAAAAACATTCCTGCAAACTTCACAGAGGGTTTTATTGTCATCAAGCTGATCAGGCCTTATTTCTCATGTCTCTTCCTATTGGGTACAAGGACTGCTGAGGGGGACAGAAGAGTGCCATAAATCAGAATAGAAATAGATAGTGAGGAGAACTGTTAGTGCATTTGCTATGAGGGATTTCAGCTTTCAGGCTGCGATGTGAGGGATCCAGCATGACAGTGCCTGCTCTGGCAGTGCTGGCACCAATTTCAGCCTTTGTTTGGCCTGCTCAGCCCCAGCCTGCTCATGTAGCTTCACAAACTGCAGAGCATCTCCTTGAAGCATGTGTTTGCTTACACTCAGCTTCTGGAGAGAGCCATCTGTGTCAGCTGTGTAGATATCTAGTGTAAAGGTGCTGGCATTGCCACCAGGTTTGGAGAGGCTGCTTTGGAAACCTCTTCTTTCCATGTTGGCAGATCCAGATACCCTACAGCTGGCCGTTTGCCCTGTGCAGCTCGTGGCTTGTGTGGGAAAGGGAAGACTGTTCCCAAATCTCTGTAGACTTGCTGTTTTTGAAAAGAGCTCATTAACACCCATAGTTTTAAAAGGTTTGTGTGGCACCACCTGCAAAGATCTGAAGCTGATCTTTCTTGCTTATAAGTCAGTGCAGAACCTGAAAACATTTCAGCCTCTCCGAAATGTATGTCCTGTGACTTATGCATTCATGAGCTGCTGTCTCTTCTTATAGCCATGTGAGAAAAGTCTTATAGGAGTCTAGATTAACCATTGTGTTATGCTGCTAAAGAGGTCCCCGCATCATGGGTATTTGGGGACAAAACTGAACAGTTTTTCATAATTTGTTTAACCATTGAAAGCAGTGGAGGGGTAGATCCTTCGCTGGTGTATATAGCTTAGCTTTGTGAGCCATGCTGGAGCCGTGCCAGTCCACACAAGCTGAGGGTAGAGCCTGGTCTGTTTTGAATATTCTCTCTCTTGACTTGTATGGTCTTTTGCGGTGTAATGCCTGCTGATTTGGAGCTTTAATTGCATGCATTTGACAGAAACAGAATTGGAGTGAGGTTTATTATTGTTTTGATACAGTCTCAAAAGGAAAGCTTTTTACTAGCATTTTAATATAGCCCTTTGTAAACACCTAGCAAATAAAAACTCTGAGTCCAATCCTTCTGCTAATGGAGTCACTGACAAAGTTTCCTTTGGCTTTAGTAGGAACTGGGCTGGGTTCAGTATAAGTGATACACTCTGGTGTTACTGATAATGAGTTAATGTGTTTTATATATTGATGCCTTTTGCTGGACAGTGCATTGGCTTTTTATGATCTGGTGATATATACAAATAAATTATTTGTAAAGTCAATATTTCTGTGCCTGTTTTTTGAAGGCGTATTTAACTTGTTGCAATGTAAGATAAAAAGTAGTTCTCAAAGTCAGTGGTAGCGCCTTATTTCATGTACTCATTCCCCAGCATCTCCATGCCACAGCTTGCATGGTCAAGGATATGGCCAACCATCCTGAGCTTCCTGAGCCCTTTTGGTACTATCTTCCAGCAGTGAACCCTAATGCCATAGCAGGCAAGGAGAAGATGCTCCCATGTCAGCATGAAGCTGAAAGGCAACTTGTTACCAAATGCAGAGGGGGACCACAGGCTGCATGGGCAGGTTCATTTTCTAAATGCCAACTGGTTAATTTTCTTCTTGTAACATCAGCCTTTCTCTTCAGGGTTGGGCCTAAAGGTTCCCAACAGCTATCTTGGAGCAAGGAATTAATAAGAAACAAGTCCACGCTATTATTTTAGAGGTTCCTGAGTTATTCCTTGAGGGCAGCTGGTAATACCCTTTTTCTAGTCACATGCTGCCAGCCCTTCTGCTTGCTTCGAAGTGGCAAAAGGCAGAAATGACAATTAAAATTGCTGCTATGGGCTTCTCCTGCTCCATTAATTTGTTTCCAGACTAGCAGGGTTGGAGAGATGAAAGGAGGGAGTAGGACTAGAAGCAGTCTTTGGGGCTGCCTTTTACCAGCGCTAATGCTGAGTGCATTAAAAGGTGAATGTAAAAAAATCTAGTGTCATCTCACTGCGTCCTTTTCTATCTCCTCTAATCGTATGGTTATGGATGCACCTGCTAGTGCAATCAGGTGCTGTTGATGTGGTGAACCTGCCTGATAGAGGGTGTTGGCAGCTGCCCTCTGTTCCTGCTGCAGGAATGTACTGAACACTGTCAAAACAGCGCTTATCCCGTACTGTTGTGGTCTGCTGATTTCTGTTGTGCGTTAATTTAATACCCATTGCATAAGGGATATTAGGCAGCACTTCTACCTTTAGGCCCTGTCGCTAGCCCATTTTCATGCACAGACCTCCTTCTACTCTCTTCTGGACCTTTGACTCTTGCCACCCCAGGCACTGCTCCTGGGAAGCCCACCTACTTGCCGCCCACTTCAAATACTGCTGCAAGAGTCCTGTCCTCCATCACTCCTCTTTCAGCCCTTTAAAGCAAAAGCATGACCATTTCCCAGCTGGATTAAATAATTGTTCAGGACTGGATGGCTTCAGGACTCTTGACTTCTAAAGCGATTCACCATGTTGGCACCAGCGTGAATTCAGGCGAGCATCTCGACCATTTGTAATAAATTATGTACTCCTTCTCCTTTTTTACCTCTTTATGGGCAATTCTGAGGAGTTATACTGAAGGGAAATATTACCCAGCATGGCCAATTTTGGGTAACTTTATAGCTCCTATCAGCTCTTCCAAACTCATGGATTCACAAAGATATCATACCTAGAAAACCAGCATTGAACAAGGAGAAAGCCCATCCAGAGGTGAGGATAGATCTGTGATGGACAAAGAACAGAAAGAAAGGGCAGAGTGGGAAAAGGTTGTGTGTGTGTATGTGTGTGTAAGCAGGCTACATGAATGGGAAAAGAGCTTCAGTGTGAGGAAATAAAACAGGTAAGTCCACAGTGAAGCTGTGCAGAAGTAATTAAATGCAGGCCCAGGAGTTGGGATTTTTTCTCCTATTCCCAGCCTTGTTATTTACCTGCTTCATTCACTTACACAGATGCATTGGCTTTCTCAGCTTCAGTTTCTTCACCTACAAAATGCCACCAGTCTCCCAGGGATGGGGTTTAGCTTTTATTTATTTCAAACGTACTGGCTTTGTAGCGAATTTGTTTTGGCTTTCTGCAGCCTGCCACGTTTCTGACTGACTGCAGTAAACAATCCTGACCCAGGAGGCCTGGCAAGGCCATGGCGAGACTTCAACAGACAACTCAAGTGCTGCCTTTGCCTGTGTCCAAAACTGTCCCAGCCAAAGCCTAGGCAGAAGCCAAGAATAGCCGTTCCTCTGCTTAATTTCCCTGACAGCCTGGATGCAATAGCCATTCTCACTCGCACGGATAAAGGTGGGCCCCAGCAGGAAGAACACGGCCATTTTCCGTTTAAAGCAGACCCAGGGGAAAGGTGGTCCCATGCCCTTATCCTGGGAAGCCGTGCAGGGAGGTGAGCACAGATCTGGACTTCACACTGCCTCCACATCTTTCCTTACAGTCCTAAGAGGAGTTCCTGTTTTACCTTAACCCTTTGGCTTGTTTTAAAGTTACTGAAGCCAGGTTGCTAAAATACTGGAAGGGTTCACTCTACTGCTCTTGTTCTTGAGATTGCTCAGTTCTTGTCAGCTCAGGCTTTGCTTTCTTATTGCAATGTGCCATGCCTTGCAGTGAGGCAACCATCCCTTCAAAAAAGGCCCCTGTTTTGAAGGGGCTAGTTGCTACATTCTGGGAGGACATGTTAGTCCAGAGTCAAAAAAGGAACACCAGTGCTTTGCCAAAGAGTTTCAACATGAACATTAAAAAGATCATAAACATTAAAAAATGCAAACAGAAGTTGTAATGACCCCCTTGCCCCGTGCATGTACCAATCCAAACTTTTTCATCAAAGATTCACCTGCACACAAGTTTAAAACCTTTCTTCTTTATTACCTAAACAGCAGGGCTGAGATGGGGGACAGGGAAGGGAAGCAGCAGTGAAACTTACCCTCTGAGCTGGGGTACCTGAGCGGTTTGCACAAAGAGCCCCTGAGCTAAACACTCCTCCTGCAGCAACCTCTGCTTCCCAGACTGGCAGCGTGTCGAATGCAATTGCTGTGGCCTTTGACATCTTAGGAGGAGCATGAGAATAGTCACTGAAGTCACTTCTTTCTGTCTCTGCAATCTTTTTGACTCATTCTCAATCAAGTCACTGCCCACTCTCCTCTTGAGAGAAGGCTGCATAACGTGTTTCTGTTTATCCTCTGCCTGGTTAAAGTCCCTGGGCTGCTTGGAAGAAGGTTGTTGGGGGAGAGAGGTATGGCCCTTTTTTAAAAAAAAAAATCAATTAAAAATAAAGCACCATCTTTTCTTTTTGGTGAGTTGCAATGGCAGAGGAGTTCAAGCCAAGGTCTTGCAGGCTTCTCTTCCATCTTCTCTGCAGTGTTTTCTTTCTCTTTTTTTTTTTTCTTTTCTTCAGCTCTTACAGGTTCTGATGTCACCCTTATCATACCAGATAAACCCAAGCACACATCAGGTGCCACTTGACAACAATCTAAAAAAAGCTGGTTGTACTGGTTTTGTCTAGAAAGAAAACATAGCTGCAGCTCATAAGCTTGCACTCGCTTGTTCTCCTCTCAGACACCCAGAGCACCATTCCACACTTATTGCATGATCTCCATTAAAAGGGTTCCCTTCAGAGAGGTGCATACTATGGTGGGCCAATGGAGACATAAAGGGGCTTTGCCTCCCACGCCTTTATAAACAATCCGTATTACTATTATATAAGGCTTTGAAGACCCAGGCATAAATGCATAACCTCTGACCGAATACAAGCACTATCATAAATCTTGTAAGCTCAGCTCGTGGGGATTATGGACTGAATCAAACCCAGAGGATTAAACTACTGATCTGATAATTAGCCTGGGATTCAATGCTGTTATTTATGTTAGGCAAATAAACTATTTACTGTTTAAATGAGTTTTCATGTTCTTTTTCACACCTGGGAGTCAAGTAAAACATTAAGAAACAGCTTTTGCCCATGGAGGAGAAAATGCATGAAGGGAAACAAGAAAGCCATTTGCAGATATTTTACTAATAATTGTTTCAGGTGTATAAATATAGCAGCTTGCCAAACCTTTGGCCACCAGACAGTGCTTGTGTAATAGCACAGCTTTATTTCAACTTTTGCAAAATAGCTCTTAGGAGACTTGAGGAGAAAGATGGTTTGCTATTTAAAGCCTTGACCTGAGACTCAGGAGACTTTTATTCAGAGCTTGCTGCTGCCTGCACAAATCCATGTATTTCTCTCTCTACTTTGCTCCTCATATCAGCAGTTTATAAGCTCTTTGGGGGACAAAATTCAGACACTTGCTTGGTGTTCAGGATGATGGAGCATGAGTTTGGTGGAACCTCTAGGTGCTGCTATGACTGCCCAGTAATGTGAAAAAAAAAAAAAAAGAAAGGAGAAGCAAGTGGCTGCTGGACAGGGCACAACAGGGGTGGTGTTCTTGCTCTTTGAGGTGGATCTTTACGTGTTCCCTGCATGTGGCTGGAGTAGACTGGGAGCTTTGCGCTGCCGCATACTGGTCAGCAGTGCTCTGAGATGTCTGTCAGGCTGGAGGACATTGCTACTGCCTCATAAACCAAGCCCAGCATTTCTGAGCAACGTGTCTAATCTGAAGAAAGAAGATAACAAGTCGAGATTGAAATTCCTCCAGGACTTTGACATCTTGCTTCATGCTGGTGTAGTAGAGACTCACAGCCAGGATCAGCACTGCACAAAATGAGAGCCACAGGAGCACAGGCAATCCAGATGATGACCTGTCATCTACTGAACGGTGATGAGGAGAAAAAAGAAAGCAGCATTATTTTAGTGTCATCTTAAACACTTCCCAAATTTGACGCCCTGCTGATGCCTTTGTCCCACATTTCTGGGAACAGCAGGGTACACAGGGCTCTGGTTGTGAGTACTTCCGTAGGCATCAGTTAAGTGATAGTGAGTCACACCTCCCAGTGGAGGGTGGTGAGTATAAAAGATCTTATCTAATGGAGCATTTAAAGAGTTTAATTATATACAATAAGAACAGGATTACCATAGCTAATACACGACCTCAAGTTTCCCTCCAGCAATTATTTTTTATACCTTTAAGCTAAATGTTAGGTTAAATACTAGGAGAATATTAAGCTACCTCATCTAATTATTTAATGCTCACAAATGTTACATAAAAGAGAGAAGATCTAGATTTCTGTCCTTTTCCGTGGTAACTAGCTTGTTTGGGGCTCCTGCTAATTACAGTAAGAACTGAGACGTGGGTCCATTAGTTGAGAGGCATATTTAGAAAGCTGTGGTAGGTTTAACCTCTCTCTAAGTGCTAGGTGTGCTAATTACACTGGAACATCCTCAGCATTTGCTCTTAAGCAGGAGGATACTGTAAACATTTTTCTTGCCTTTAAAATGTAGTTTAATGATGTTTAAAGTGCCGTAGATCAGGCACACTACACATGTGGAAATCAATGGGCTACATTTAGCTCGCTGACATCCGTGCCCCAGCCCTTGCACGTGTGTATCCATCCATGGGCCTCCGGGATCCAGTTTGATTCAGATCTGGCTGCTCTGTTTGACTGCATGGCCATTGCACAATCGGTATTATTTTATAAAGCACTTTGAGTATTAAACATGCAGTATAAAGCCAAATTCATGCCTGAATAAAAACCCATAGTGTGCAGCTATTTTCCTGCCATATGCACATAATCAATAAGGAAATAAAAATGTGGTGTGTATTATTATGGGTAAAGGGCCAACATTAGCTGTAACATTTAAATTAGCTTCTACTATGAGCCCTGGAATACACAGCAGTCAATTAAACTGTCATACAGATGTACAGAGAGGAAGGTAGAAGTCATAAAACCAAGCAAGAAACACATAATAATATATCAAAAAGTGTATGGGGAAAAGGTAAAATGTTAATAGGCAGTCATTTTATAGCTAACCAGAAACCAAATCAATGTCCCATAATAGATCTGAGTGAATTATTTGCAGCAAATAATTTATTCATTTGAATTTAGCCCTTCTTTCTGTTTGCAAATTATCCATGAGCAGACTTCAATTTTTATAAATTTGTTTATTCTATGAATGGTTTATATGAAGGTGTTTAGCCAGGGAATTACTCACCGCTTTCTGCTTTTGCAGAGATTTGTGATTTGGAAGTTGGTATTTCCCTTGTGTGATCTCCCACACCACAAGATACAGTTCTTGACTGGGTGACTACCTGCCTTTCAAAGCATGGGGCCTGGCTGATGAGCATACCTGGTAATAATGAAACTTTTCTGTGAAAGCTAAACAGCTTTTCACATCAGACCTTTTCTGTGAAGTGCTTATAACCTTTTTCAATCTTGCGAAAGTTACTTTCCATGTGAAATTTCTGGGTGATCTCAAATGCAAACTTGGCTTTTCCTTATGTCCTCTCAATTAGGGAGTATGTTCAGTCCAGGAACAGAAAAAAATTATGTGGAAGAATAATCCCACCCACAAAATAGTGATGAGCTATACTCACAACAGCTTGAGCACATCACTACAATTATGTGCTTAAATGTAAGTTTGCTCTTTTCTAAATTACAAATAGAAAATTAATGCTTAAATTTGTTAGTTCAGTTGTTTGTTGGAACAGCAGACTCAGCCCTCGCCATGTGCCCAGTCTAGGAAAAAGGCAACTCATCTGAGAAAAGCACTGGACCAGGATACAGGAGATTTTGGTTCAGTTCCTGCTTTGGACATACATTCCCACTGTCACCTGAGGGATATTTGGTCTTTCCTCTTCCACCTGGCTCTTTCCTGCCTATAGTACCTTGTTCCTAGCCCAATAACTGCCTTAGCTGATGCTGCCATTGGCATGAGCATACAACCCCTCTTCCTGGGCAACAGCAACAGCTAGGGGATGTGGGGACATTTGCTTCCTTTTGGCCTCCCAACACTATGGCTCTGTGCCTGTGTGTATACATACATGTATACATGTACCCCTCTCCCCTTACTGCATTGCATACAGCAGGGTCTGGATGTTGGCCAGGACGTCTAGAAATGATCACCATCATAAGAACATCCAGATGATACACACATTTGCTTGAGGGTCTGTGAGGCTGGCTGGCCTCAAACAGCCTTGCAAACAAAAAAGAAAAAACGTATTATTTTTATTATTTCTACCCTGCTGCCAGCATATAAATGAATTGTCTCTTCCCTACATATGAAAGTCAGCAGGGAGAACTATTGTTTCGCTTGGGGTGCTTTCCCTGCATATCTTAGTGAAAAATCTGTACCTATTCTATTGCCATAAAATATATTAATTATATTTAAATTAAAAATAGCTTCAGGGATTTAATTTTTGTTTCCACTATTTGTCTTACTAGATGTCTTGTTTAAAATACTGCACCAGACCTCATCAACACCTTGTGCTTCATATGCTGAGAAGAAAAAGCAACAACCACTGACAGTATGAAATGCTCTGTATACAGAGGATATATTTGCACAGTGCATACCAGCAGCCACAAAGCAAACTCAGGTTAGTGCCATGGATGGCTCACAGTTATAGTGTGAAACTTCGACTTACCCACTACGTAGTCACAGCAGGAAATGGCTAGAAAACAGAATAAAAATGTTCTTACATGCCTGGAAGGGCCTCTTTGCAGCAGATGAATAAGAAAGCAAGCACCAAGTGGTGTCTCTGAAATTGCCTGTCGCCTTATAGATGCTGGGCTACCTCTTACACCACTTTTGTCTGTACAGATTTATGCCAGATGAGGATCTACCCACTCCATGCAAACATAGAGGTGTAGGTGCACTTCAGAAAAGTGAGAAAAAATTATTGTTTGGGGGATTTCAGAGACAGAGATTGCTGTTGTTGTGGGGAGGTCAGGAGTCAGCTCTTGCAAAAAAGATGTCCCTATTCCGCATCATTTCTAGAAGGGAAAGGAGATAGACCAGCAGGCTGAGAGAAGAATGAAAGTTAAGAAAGCAAAGCCCAGTGTCAGATGTAACTTTCATCCAGCGGTATCCTGGAATTGCCTCCGCTTGGCAGCCAGGACCCAGACACAATCCAGGACGAAAAATCCAGAGAATGGAAAAATTTCAGTAGTGCCAGCAACCTTCATCTTACCAGCCTCTACATTAATAACATTGCATGGACAAACAGCAAATCATCTAAATTACAGGCTGTTTGCAACACAGAATACTAATTATGTGTTGGGACATTTCTTATGTCTTCATGGAAAAGAGTCAGAGTCTTATCTGTCCTTGCAGCTCCCTGGAGCTCAAGCACGGCTGTGCTGAATTCAGAGCCAGTGAGAGATGAACCAGGTCCCCCGAGCTGGACTTACAGGATTACCAGTGCTGATGTGGGGGCATGGACTCTGGCAGGGAGCTGAAGGAGATATTACATCTCATCAAAATCCTGCTCTTGAGCAGTCAGATGAGCTTTGGAGAATTTAGGACCGACTTACTGAGTCTTCCCAGGAGTTCAGTTTTGATGGGAAAGCCCGGGCCATGTCAACAATGTTATCAAGAAACAGCTTTTCACTCCCGCATTAGGAGGCACCAGAAACAACATATTGCAAAACCAAGGCAAGCTCTGTGTACAAACACAGTAGTGGATGCCAAGTCTTGTTTTTAGAAGCTGAGTAGCAGTCCAAACAGGTGGCTGACATAGAAATTTTATGGCTGACATAGAAATTTTACCATTCTGTCACCTGTGTTTTTACTGACTGACATATCAAAACCATACAATTTTAGTTCCCTACCAATAAATACTATTTTTCTTAGTTGGGTCAGTTTGTGACAGTCAGAATGAAGTAACAGTTCTTATTTGGTTATGAATTGTATATAGCACATGCAGAAGTGCAAACTGGATCCTTGTGCTAGACCTCTGCTTAAGGTCACTCCCAGTTGACCTACCTGCAAACTGTTATTTTTGGCTCACAAATGAAAGACCAGAGGTCATGTTAGCTGTATCATTCCTTGGGTGCCCTCGCTGGCAGAAATGGTTACATCCTGGCTGTTTTTAACCCCAGTGGGCCAACCAGGCTCAGACCTTTGCTATTGTAAAGTAATTGAGCCATGCCATCCCATGGCATGCATGCTGCTCAGAAACATGAAAGGGCTGGCTCCTTCCCCACCATTACATCCTAGTTACCCAGAATGACATAAGTGTGTTTAAATTTGGTCTGAGATCCTTTTCTATGAGTGGAAGCATTGTTCTGGGGTAGACCTGGGGCTCAGCCAAACCCATGGTCTGCAATGATCCCTGTGGGGGCTGACTCAGGAGTTCACCATGAGAACAGCCCTGAGGCTGCTCTAACGTGACGCAGGAGTCTGCCTCCTCCCAGGGCAGGCAGGCAAATGGACCAGATACAATTCTGCAGAGCACAGAGCAAAAATTGCCAGTCCTCTGCTCTGTGCTGAGCTCAAAATCACAAGTAACATTATCAAAGGGGGAAGCTGATGTGGACAGACAGGGTGAATGTTAAAAAAGCTGGAAAGGTCATGCCAAAAGGCTTAATAGCTTGAGCGTACCATGTTCAATGACTTCTGGCTCACGAAATCGAACCCTTCTCTCTGCTTTCCGCTTTTCCCCCACAGCTTGGTCCACAGGTGGCCTTTTCCTCAGTATTGAAGGAGGATAGCTACTGTCATCTGTCTAAAGAATTGATCAAAACACAAAACACATGGCTATTCAAACTGGAGTAATGCATCTGGGTGAAGCTTTGAGCTTTTGTGGTTATATTACCGTGTCCCTCGAAGGACATGATATGAAACACATCTGTTTTGACGTTTATAGTCAGACCACTGTGATATTTATAGCAAGACAATATGGATATTCCTTCATTGTCATAGATCTTCAGTACTCTAAAGCTGTCTTCTCAGGAAAAAGGTTGGTTAAAGTAACAGACAGCAAATGTTCAGAAAGGATTTCTCTAAATTGGAGTGAACAGTTACTGAAGGTGGCTGCTCAACAGCCCTGGGGTAGACGGACATAAATGTGATATGAAATATATGAACCATATCATTGTGAGCACCTTTGAAACATTCTTCTGAGCTAAGCAGCTCCGTTCTGAATGCAGTGTTGCCATTTCAACAACTGACACTATGCAGCAGTCTTGAGTTTGGACACTATCCTGATGGGTACAAGAAGGTAATTTGTTTGTACTTCGGTATCACCATTATTTTGTTGCTCTGGTTTTTGCTTGGAAGCCATACTCAGTCTTTGATAACGGAATCAAATTGCTGTGGATTCTGCCAAATGACAAGAAACAGAGCTGCAATAATAGTAATAAGTCCCTCTTCTGCGTAGGAATGCTCCCACAGTCAACTCCCCAAAGTGAATCCAAAGCATCTCGGTTCAGAGACATCCATTGTCCTCTGAAAGTGGAGAGCAGATGATAAATTTTCTACTTTTCAAAGACCTAAGCGGGTGGCAGACATTCTCCATATTTTATTTTTACTTTAAGATCGAAGTCTTCTTCTCTAGCCCTTTCTCCCCCTTCCCTCCGTTCCTCTGCTAGGTAAAGGGTATTATTTCCTAGATGGTTTGTTTGCTCCTTCTGGCCACTGTCCCTGCTCCTTTTTTTCCCTCATGTGTCATTTCCCCACTCAGTGATTGCATGCTCTTTCCTCCATGTTTTTCTTCCTGCTTTAATCTTTCTATTCCTCAATGCCTGCTACTTTTGCCCATTTTTAGACTCAAATACCCTTGCTCTACACCTTTTCTCTTTAGATGCTTTCCCCACACTCACCATTTCACACACCCACTCCTTGGGCTGCAGAGGCAAGATTAAGTCCCATTAACTACAGTCTCGGGGTGTCAGACCCCAAAGTACAGAGGAAAAATAGGTTTCACTATGCATCACACTGGATAATCTCAGAAAGGCCCATAGCATAGCCAGCAGGAACTGCCATGGAGTGAGGAACGTCTTCAGCTTTGATACCTTTTCCTGAGGGATTTATAAACCAGATTTCATCTTAATTATCACTGATAAGGATGCTTTCTCTGAACTTGAGGTCATACAAGCATCCATACCACCTCTGTCTCGTGACTGGGGAGAGTATGTGTTGGAGCTCTGTGCTTTTTACTCAGCAGCTCAGAAGCTGGAATACCCATCCAGGGTATGGGAAACCTGGATCCAACCTCTTTCTAAGTCCAAAGGAATACGAACCCACATCTTTTATATGCACGCCCTCATCATCAGAGCTATGGTGCACGCGTGGGAGCAGGGAATCTCAGTCTCTGACACTGAAGCCGTCTTGTTTGGCCTTGAATAATTAAATATTGATTGAGCTAAAGAAAGAACGAACGAAAGAATTACTTTACAGCCTGGTGTTTGGGTGCTCCCTTGGGGGTGGGAGAAGTCTGCTCCTACCCTTGCTCCAATGAATACTTAATATGAAATATTTAAATATTCATTGGAGTCACTGGGAACAGGGTCTCTCATCTACCAGGTGAGTACCATAATCACTCTGCTATAGCCACACACACACACACACACACATTGTGGTATAATGAATATTTAATTACTCTGTGTAAAATGAAACAGGTTTAGGGAGACACAGCAGAATGTGCTCAGCTCAGACTAGCAGTGATTATAGCTTTAGCTGGGAGGGCTCCTGCAGTGGCACAGCTAAAGAAACTAAACCTTATATTTGAAGAGATTTATAACTCCAAGTGCAGCTCTTGTCCACGTGAGCTTTTCCAAACAGCTAACAGTTACATCACATCAGAAGAGAAAAGCATAAACAACTAGCTGGTTGGGTAGCACCTAGACAAGGAAGACCTTAAAAATGAAGTGGCATTTACAATATTTACTAGACTTTAACAACTTATGGAAATCAAAGCTACACAGTGTCAGAAAAAAATGATGCATTTTCCCCTCAGACGGAAACCCAGTGTTAACATACTGTGACAAGAGCTGGAAACCTACCAAAGTGTTAGTCGGGAAATTATATGCCCTTAAAAACAACCCATTTGTGAAAAGCTCTGGGCGATGGACACAAGGACTCTATCGCCCATCGAACGATTACTTACCGGCAGCTCCTCTGCACTAGGATCAGAAGGTGGGGCTGGACATATTTGGGACATGTACCCTGGATGCCAACATGAAGCCTCCCACACGAAGCTTTGGTTGGAAAGCCACTTGCTCAAGAAAACAGGGAGGACCAGGGGAAAGCGTCTGGAGATCCCTCTGCAGCGAGGACTGAGCAGGCAGTTCCACCAAGCAGATGGGAGCAGCAGCAAATGACAGAGGAGTGGAAAGAAGAGTTTCCGCCCTTCATACCAGCGTTGGCTTGGGAAGGATGACGTTACTTGAAATGTACTCAGTAGACAAAAATAGCACATAGTGATAATACTGATTGTGCAGCTGAAAAGCAGGGCTTTCCTGGCAACTGGAAAGGGCCTGAATGGAGCAAATCACAGATAAACACCTACATATTTATATGCGTAAACATGAAGATGAGGCTGTTCTTTTTATAATGATTGCTGCATTTCCATGATCCTGTTGATCTCCTTTCCAGAAGCCATTCCCAATCTCAAAAATCTTGCAAGTGGGATTGCTTTTAATCCTTCTCCCGTTCAAAATATGTGGGTAAAACCATCAGGAAATGATATAGATGTAGTGGGATCACATATATCTCCCTCCAGTACAGTTATGGCCTCACTTTATATGTTCTACAAATTAGATCCATTATTATAGTAATAAAGTGGGATTTTAACATTAGACATTTCTACAGATATTATAATAAGATTATTGATAGGAAGAGAGGTGATTTACTGTTCAAGAGGCTTTAACAGCCCCTTGTCAAATGCTGAAGGCTGGTCATCATCAAATATACAATTTCCAGTCAGAAATACCTGCCTTGACTGCTGAAATATGGTGGTTTACTGTCTCTACAAGCAAAAGCTTGAGCTTTTTATGTTGTTCTTTTCCTGGAGCTATTTATTTGCTGTGACATGTCTAAAGTACTCCAGTTTTGTGCTGTTTTCCAGGTGGTTGGATGGATTCTCCCATGGCATGCTCAGACTGGAGCCCTCGCTTTGCACTTACCCCGTGGAACAAGGCTTGCAAGATGCTGACATTGGCGCTAGGAACCAATGGGCACAGCAGCTCTGTGGGCTTCACTATTTTAATCTTCCTTTCAGGGATATGGGGAGTGGGTGAGTAGATGGGAGGGGTCGGGATCCTCCTCCAGAGCAAATTGGGCCAGCACAACAGGGGATGTATCCATGGTTGATGTGGGGCCAGCAGCTCCCTTTGAGCCTTGCTGCCTTCCCGCAGCTCAGCCTCTGCACGGGTCTGCAGCGCTTGCAGGGGCTGCTGTCCTCAAGCCCTTCCCTTTCTAGCAGTGAAAGCAGTGTCAACATGGAGAAGGACACATTTTGCTGGACTGGGGCTCTTCACTGAATGCTCCATATCTAAAAGCCACCTGGAGAGAGTCATCTTACCTTCTCTTTCCTGTACATTGGGGTGATGGAGGGCTTTTCCTCATGCTGCAACCGGCTCACAGCTGTAGGCCTTGTGAAACACTCTCAAAATCCCTTCTCTGGTGTGTCCTGCAAGTGTTTCACAGTGGTTATTTTGGGATATCTAAGCTGAGCTTTTGGTGGGGAAAAGTCATTTTTCAAAACTTTGCTCATAGTAGGTCCTAGACAGAAAGATGACAAAGCCTTCCAAACCGTGGTCCCTAGCTTCTCCTTCTTCCCATTGTTATAATCACTTATATAATTA